TTTATTGTTCGCTCGTGGAAAATAAATGACTTTTTGTAATCAAATAATATTAAATTGTGGAAATTTATGGAATGGTATATATTATGATAACTTATCGCATCTGGCATTAGAATTAATTTTTGCGAAATAAATATTAGCTGATTAGAATAATGTCAAGTGTGTCATTCAACTATTATATTAAGATAACCCGAACCCTACATACCCCTAATAAGCTTTACAATTTTTTCTAATTTTTTACTGATTTAAAAATTGGAAATTAGTGATAATATTCGAAAGAGAAATATTTCTGAACGTTAATAAAAAGTATGAGACATATTGAGTATGACAAATATTTATATAAGTGCAATAATTATAAAAATTATACCAAAGGAGGCATATATCAAAGGAACAACAGATTGAATTGGCAGGATATTAAACAAATACAATATCCGAATAAATAATAAACTATCTTCAAACCACCCAAAAAGATAGGACAAATCCTAAGAAATCCTAAAGATCATAGACCTCCACTCAGCTCCGCAGGAGTAATACCTTGTTTCTGCGAGCAAGCGTTGGAGAAACTGGGAGAATATTCAACCTACGGATAAAGGAACACCAACATCAGGTTAAAACATGTTACGCAATCAGCATTATCAGAACACAACATAGAAACAAGACATCAAATACTATTTGACAAAACGACCATAATAGTCAACATTAAATCATACTTTTCAAGAAAGTATAGAGAAGCCATAGAAAAACACTCTAACAATCTGTCTATCTAAATAGAGATAATGGCTACAACATAAATAAAATATGGAAAACCATTCTCCCGGTTATTGAAGACTGCCCCATTCCCCCACCTTCCCTCCCCCTCACAATTCTCTTTTTTCCTTTATCACTCCAACAAGTAGCGTAATATAAAAAAAGAACGATCCGGAGGAACAGCTCAGTATCAGGCTGCTCCTCCCCCTGATGAAGTGGACTGCAAGGTTCACGAAACGTTAGTATTCCAAGAATGGATCTGGACACAGAGGAAACCCGCGAAATGCACAATCTTTATATAGAAAGCACCCATGAAAGAATAAGTGCAATAAATATTAAAAAAAAAGCTTAAAAGTTTACAAAAGATTAGTGCCTTAAAAAATCAATAACTTTGACATGTGTTGTTAAGATTTCTAACTGACCTCCAACAGGTTTTAGCCTTCGCTCGTTAAAAAGTTTCGTCAAAAAGTATTATCAAAAAAAGTTTAAAAAATAACATCTTATTTCTATTAAGAATTATTCTACACCTTCTCTTTATATAATGACTTTCCAAACTTTATATAATGACTTTCCACACAAAGCGAGGATCACACACACTCCGTTTCCTATTTAGATTCGAGACATTCGACTTTCGAGCAATGAGGTCTACATAACATTCCCCTCCTGCTTAGAAAGTTGTTACATCCGATAAGAAGGCGGCGAGAAGTGGGATAGACTTCTCTTTGCGTGGAAAATCATTACGCAAGAAGGGAAAAGTTTGGGATAGTAATCAACATTATATATAGCAAAAATAAGAGTTAGTTATTTCTTAAATTTTTATTACTAACTTATTTTTAACGAATACGATTCTTAATGAAAACGGCCGAAATCTGTTGGCGATCACTCAGAATGATGACCTTGACAACATTCTTCTTTTTTCTTTTGTTAAAGAGAAGAAAATTTCATAAGACTCTCCGATAGACCTAATCGGGGGAGTGGGATTCGACTCGCATACACTCAGGCATAGGTTATACTTCCACAGATAGCCTACGTCACTGAAATCTCTCATTCATGAGCTTCCTGGAGGAGAGACACCCTGGCATCAGTAAGGTATTCTTCTCGAACGCGTCCCATAATCACACCGTGTTTGATGCGGTATTACTTTGATGCGGCATTTTTTACTCTACAGTGGGCCAAAAGATAGGCAAAAACAGCTAAAAATCAATTTCGGGATTTTAAAATTGTAAAATTGTAAAATTGTAAAATTATTTTTATATTTTATATAGTTTAAAGCATCTGTCAGCAAAATTATATTAAAATAGGTTAATTATTATGAAATCCATTGTGATCTAAAGTTAGAAATGTACACGAAATTGTTACTCACTCGAACAATTAAATATTCAAATTATGTTCAAAGTTACCGCTCAAAATCTTTCTCCGCTCGAAGAGAGTTGGTAACAGTGGGAGGTATCTGAGCGGAACAGAGCAGCGTTGCGAGGATTTCCGTGCTTATCTTCTTTTCTTTCTATCTGCATGCATGCGTTAGTTCTCTTTCGTGTTTTTGTTGTGCTTGCTTTTTACATATTGTGCTCTAGCTAATGCAAAACGTTTCAATCTAAAAAGTTTTGTTTCCTTTCATGAGAGATTATACAGTGTCGAATGCAACTATTACGTGGCCACAGTAAGATAATCTCATGCGTATTCGAGATCTGTGCCTCACGAGCACATGTTCGATGCAAACATACTCAAGGCCTTCGTGGCACCTCGGATAGCACGTAGCAATAGTAATCTTCCCTTCAAACAAATCATCGATGATACTGATTGCTCATTACATACATATTAAGTATAGTAATCCTCATTTCAAGCAAATCATCGAGGATACTAACCACTCATTGTACATACACATCAAGTATAGTAATCCTCCCTACAAGCAAATCATCGAGGATACTAATCACTCTTTGTACACATATTAATAGTAATGCTCCCTTCAAGCAAATCATCGAGGATGCTATTCGATAATTACATGCTATATATTAGTCTAAATCGTCATGATAAGGTTAAATCTTTCATTCGATAAGCCAGTGAATGTTATCTATATCAATGGAATATAAATTAAATAACATATTTCTGTGTTGAAAATCTGTATCCTTCCTTGCGTTCATATTGTTATTATATATTTGTGCATTTTATTTCACAGATCAAATAAAGATTAAACAAATTAGCTTTCAATAATGTTAAGATTCGCAAATTTTAATTTCTTGTTGATCAGAATAAGTATTCAAATTAAAATGAAAAAAAAAAAAAATTTCAGATATGGATACATACACCAAATTAAAATGCGTAACTGTAGATTTTCTGACATTACGCTCGTTGCCGTTTGATGATTCATCAAATTTTCACAACATATCAAAAAAATTAAAATATAAATTTCTTAGGGATTTAATATACTTTAGTCGGCCCAGTTTAGTCGGTTTTGCCTGTTTTTATTTATTACCAAGATACAAAACAATAAATAAGGTCGCATGCGGTCATGATTTTACTACGTGCCATCCTGCGACCGTTCCATAAGGCACAGACACAGGAATAGTATGGTAGATCGCCTCGCATCGTGAGGAACGTATATCTCTTTACATTTCTCCTTTTTTCTCTTCTCAATTGCAATCATTACATTCCACACAGCACATTTTATCCTGAAGATATCCCAAAATTGTTCCATATTAACATAACGATTCCACGGAAATAGTACGAGGTATGTACAAAAATTCCGTACACTCGATTCATCAAAAATCCAAATTAAATTATTCTGTAACGGGGATGTGGTTACTCTTAAAGTACTCTCACCTTGACAGAATACACTTGGTCCAACGCTTCTCCCATTCCTGAAAGCAGTGCTGCATGTTTTCCTTTGTCAATTCCTTTAGGAGCTTTATCGTTTCTCGTTTTATGGTATCAACAGCCACAAAATGTTAGTGATATTTTTTACTTTAGGAAACAGGTAGAAGTTACAGGGTGATAGATCACATGAATAGGGAGGTGGTAGTGATCTATGGTAGTGATATCGATTTTGGCCAAAACTCGTACGTAACAAACACGTTATGCGAAGGTGCATTGTCCTGATGCAGAATCCATGCGTTTATGGCAGATTCACCATACACCATTTCCAATATTTGAAGAATTCTCTGGCCATTTTTGCCAAGATTTACAAGAAATTTGATGTTGATTCTTTGCTCGAGCAAAACGTTTTAATCGAGCAAAGAATCAACATCAAATTTCTTATAAAACTTGGCAAAAATTCATTCCGCCAACACGACCAAAAGTACATTAATAAAACAGATACGAAAAGCAGAGATCTCACGCGACCTAACTTTTACTGAGGACACGTGACGCTTCTCCCGAGACGTTGCTCCACTGTATAAGCTTATAGCGTCACCACATCGACAGAATAAAATTCAGTGTACGAATTTTTTGTATACACCTCGCCATGGACTGTCAAAACAAACCCCCACCAGTTCACTTCCGGTGGCGGGGGCGTGGCCTATTTGGAAAAATGGTGCGCTCTGATTGATCGGTGACGCGAGGATGGGGATAACGAAATAATTAAATAACGCGTTTTTTTTTATTGGCTCGGTCCATGGCTGCCCACAGAGAGAAAGGGGAAGGTACGCGTAGCGTATAAATAGCACACAGTTTTTTGTTCTGTAAGTCATTTTTTGCTGCAGCTCAATGTCTCAACTGACGTTTTAATGAAAGAGTTTTTTTCTTATTATTTATGATGAGGACTTTTACGAGAATTTTCGGGAGACTCTTGTTTTCATTATGGAGAAAGGGGAGATAAAACAGGAATGAACACAAAGTTTGTGTTGGTTACGCGTCGTCATAATCGACGTAGTGATTTACTCGTTTTTAGAGCATAAATTTCTTCTATACTCTATGCCGGAAATATCTTTATTTAAATATGATAAAAATCTGTATCATTTAAATCTGAAATGTTGGGATATTTAGAATCTGAAATAGTCGAAAATTTAAAATACGAAGATTTTATTTATTGATAAAAGAGTTATTACATTGATAAATGAATTATATCACATGAAAAAATATATTATAAAAGTCATAATCTTCGATTCACTAAAACTATGTTAACAACTTTGTTGAATTTTAATTCAGTTATTTCTAAAAACAATATATTAAAGTATGTTTCCAAAAATGACCAATTTTTTATTTGTGTTATTACGCAACGTTCTTTGTTGCCTCGAAAAATGAATTTGATGATTTCGCTGTCGATGTAGGAATTAGTCAGAAGCAACTCTCCTTAATCAAATATCGCGCGTTAACATTGTCGATAATAGATGTCAGTTGGTTTACATGCGCATTGACACATTTAATTACGCTCTCCATTCAATGAAATGTAGATTGCTGCATAATCGCGATTACGCAGTAAGATTTTTTTTTCTTCGTCGGCGATAGTGCCAGTTCTTGCTTGCGTACTTGAGGATAAAACCTCCTTTGGAAAATTTTCATCTTGCGTACTTGTAACCAGTATAGCACCATAGGCGAAGCTGAAACTGACAAATGTTTGCGAATGAGATAGAATTTACTTTGATTTTGCTATTTCCATTTAGTTATGTGCTCATGAGTCCCATATTCTCTTGAAATTATTTCCATGCGTTCAAATCGAAGCTGATTCCTTTTGCGTAATTACAGGCAATTTGACGATAGGCTCAAAGGTTCTCTCCTTTGTTGATATAATTCCACGTGTAATTTCTTCGTATAAGAGGAATTGAGTACATACATCAAAGAAGAGAACAGCAAATATTGCTTATTTCGTTCAGTAATATTGTTTATAACGCGAGAGTTATCAGACACAGAGTGATTTCCAACTTCTTGTCTTTCAGCCATGTCACTTCACGTGATAATTTTGGATAAATATTTCTCAAATAAAGGAAAACTAGGAAGACTGATTTCGAAATAGTACGTACGTTTCGAAATAGTAGTAACGATATACGATTGAAATATCTTAACACTATATAAAGTGATTTGCGTTTATATATGCTTTTCGAAAACTAACGAAAATTTGCGCGCACATAATATTTGTTTAAATTCTTATTTTTCTAGAAGAATCTTGCTATGCTGTTATGTGACACAGTTACTTTTTCAGAAAGAATTTTCTCGAAGATGGATAACGGAAATATTTTATATCACAAATATGTTCGAATTCGTAAAAAATCGATCAAAATTATTCAAATGTAAAATATTATCATATTTGAAAATAATTCATCAGGGTAAAGAAAATATTCTAACGTCGAATTTATTTTTAATAAATTTTAGAAATATTCTCACTAGCACGACTGGAACTGAAGATGAGCATAAAAGTTTATCCGAGCAGAAAAGCAACTTAATGTTTAAAAAAATTCTTTTCTAACAAAAAAGGAACATTGTCTCTGAGGAAAATTACTTATCAATCGTCATAAAACTTTTTATATAGCATAAAAAGTTAATTATTTTCATGATATGAAATTGTACTTGAAGTATTTAAAAAATTAATTAAATACAAAAACTCATTTTCCACTGTTTCACACTTTTTGTAAAAAATAAACATCAAATATAAAAATAAATTTATATTTAAATCACAAGAAAAATTTTTTATATCTTCTTTTTTTTTCGTCCATCATAAGCTTTTCATCGTATAGTTCGTTAGCGGTAATGCCACGCCCAAAGAAATTGTACGCTGACTTCGACGCGAATAAGCTTATACGCATCGCATCGCGGCAAGAATCAGTTCGGAAGATGTCACGATGCTCTCGTCGGCTAGCCTACGCCGGGAATACGCTGACGCAAGCGTGCGTGGAGACGGCCGCGTTGATCAGCTTATCCCCCCTTCTTAAATTTTTTCTTTTGTATATTCTTGAAATTATTATTAAGCATCATTTTTCCTTTTACTTGTTTTTGAAGTCTTGCGGTAATAGAGTAGCTCATTTCGCAAAATGGACGTTGGCAACATCCATGGACATCGATCGTAGGTATGTGATCCGACTGGATGGTGAAAACAATTTTTGTAAAGTCTTTTCTTCGGTATTTATCTCTCATGTCTGACGTACGTTTACAGAGAGTTTTGTTTTATTATGCGGAATGGCAAGAAGCCATATTGTCAATTACAATACGACACTCGTGAAAAAGAGTTCGAAGATCAGAGTTGGGAATGCAGCAATACTAAAACGAAGAAGAATATAATTGAATTTTCCGAAGGTTTACCCTGTCTGGAAGATTACTCAAACGATCCGCTTTCTCCGAAATTAGTGATAATTGATGATCTTATGAGAGAATCGTCGTTGTGCGACTTGATCGTGGATCTTTTCACCAAGTGATCACAAGAATCTCAGTGTTATTCTTATCTCGCAGAATCTCTTTCATCAAGGACGTGGTCAGCGCGATATATCATTCAACGCGAATTATATCATTTTAAAAAATCCATGTGATCGCGCTCAAATTCGTCATTTAGCGCGTCAAATCTATCCCGACGATCTGAAATTCCTAGGAGAGGCATACTACGACGTCGAGACCTCACGACTATTTATTACTCGATCTGAAACAATCAATCCCGGACGAGTATCGATTTCGAACGTATATTTTTTCCGAAAATATGATTCATTACTTCTACCTGCTACGTAAATCATTTTCCAGCGGATTCGTATAAAAGGTGAGTACGGGTAATCATATGTGTTAGTCGTGAATTTTTCTCGGGATGAAGGTGGGTAACAAGAAATCGCACAGTACGTCAAAAATCGGCATACATTCGATCGGTAACAGAAACACCTGTCTCCTCGCGGCGTTCTATCATTTGAATAAAAATTAATGCACCATCTTCTTACGTAGCGCTGACGAGAAACTAATTCGTTGAATCTGTGAACGTGTTTTTAATACACTCAAAGGTAACGTCTCGCTCGAACGTTGTGAAAAAAATCGGTTAACCAAATACAAAACTCAGCGTCGCATCGTTTTAAAACGTAGTAATTATTGGAAAGATAAAAGAAAGCTGTTGGTGGAGCGAGGCGGATTTTTATTTTATATTATCGGACCTATATTATTGACTTTATTATCACTAATTATCGAAGGAATGAAATAGTGGGGATAAAATTATGGAGAAGGTAAAAAAAATGGTTTTAATTTCGACGGAAAATTTCGAGAAAATGTCAACATCAGCTACGTCAGAATCCGACATCATTCGCTGGCGGAGAGTCAAAAAAAATCGCAGTATCGCAAAATTCAGACAACACACAGAAGCACTAATAATACAGCACAAACTTCTGGAACTCATCTATCACGTCTCGATGCGGAGATGAGTCGTATTCTTAATTTTTTTTTTTATTAGCCGCACGATGAAAGTGAGAGATGGAAAATGTACAGAGAGGCATTATGGCGAATCCTGTGATTTATCCAAGAAACGCGAAAGCAGAAAAATACATGCAACGAAAACGAAAATACAGAAGACAATGCCACAGGAGATATCTCCGCTGATAACGAGATGACGAACGATAACATTTATCATGATCTCACGCAAACATCCATCGATATACCGTCAGTACATTCCATCAGTAACACAGAGACAAGATATTATTACAAAAAATTTCGAAATTTCGACGACTCGTCCATAGAATTCATCATATTCGGACATGGAGAAAATTATCTGGATCTCACTCACATCATATTGAGCCTTCGCATACGTGTAAAAAACGAACGCGGGGAGAGCACATCGCCAACGGCGTGGTAAAAGTAGAACCCATAAATTTACTGCATTTTATGTTCAACTAAATCGCTGTATATTTCAATCAAAATTTCGTGTCGCCACCACACGCTTATACGCATATACATCGAGGTGTTATTAAATTATGCTTCACCCGCAAAAACTTTCTATCTAACCTCTTGCTTATGGAATAAAGATATTCCCGGTTACATGGACAACACGTTAAACTCATTAAATCCAAATACGGCACTCGAAAGACGCGCGCAATACATTCAAGGAAATCGTGTGCTAGATCTCATAGGCCATCTTCACTGCGACGTTTTCAATCAAGATAAATTTTTAATTAACGAAGTGGAAGTTAGAATGAGACGTTCGAAAGATTCATTTTGCCTTATGGAGAGTAAAACGATATCAAAAATACGTATTTTCGATGCCAGTTTACTCGTAAGAAGAGCAAAAATAAACCCGGGTATGATACTCGCACATGCTAGAATGCTGAATAAAACTATTGCTAAGTATTCTCTTACGAGAGTCGACGTTAAAACATTCACGATACACGTCGGCGCCATGGGGGAATTGATAGATAATGCAATACTCGGACTGTTGCCGAAACGAATAATAAAAATGGACTTTGTCGATAACAAGACATTTAACAGTGATAGAAAATTGTACCCGTTTAATTTCAAAAATTACGGAATAAATTTCTTTTCGTTGTACGCCAATAGCATACATATTCCCAGTAGACCATTACAGCCAAATTTTTCGAAAGATAAGCTGCTCTATGTTGAAGCTTATGACACATTATTCTCGGGAACTGGCATTCACTTTCTGAACGAGGATAATTCCATAAGAGACGATTACGTCAACGATTACACTCTTTTCGTTTTCAATCTTACAGATCTATCCGCTAATTGTGCAGGGCATTGGAATCTCGTAAAATACGGAAGCTTACGATTAGAAGTGAGATTTGAAAAAGCTGTTTCGTGACTATTAATTGTATCGTCTATGCGGAGTTTGATAACGTTTTAAAAATCGATTTCTTACATCAAGTCATTGTCGACTTTTCCGATTAGCTCTATGACTCTATGACGCAAGAAAATTATTTTCCTCCCATTACACATTTTTTTTTATCTAATTGTATTCAAGATAATGAAAAAGCTTCAGTCTTGCTCATGACGCCGACGTTTCGTGACGTAAAAAGAGTAGCGAAAATTCGAATGTCATAATGGATATAATCATCGACATACAAGGTTTCTCATGATATCGAAGAAAACTTTATTCCGAAAGAAGTCGCGATTCTTGCGATTAATGCGAGTATCATAAATTTTCAGTATTGGCAATAAATATTGGAACGCAATTTTGGTGTTTATAAATATTAATAAAATTCTAGACATTATGGAATCATAATGTGATAATTTTATATAAACAAACATTGAGAATATATATTCAGGAATTTTTCAAGATTTGTCCATATGACGCTGTTTCATGCCATTCAGTCTCAGTTCAGTCCTCTAATGCAACCTCACGCAATCAGCATTCACGTTTCGACACAGAACGTATCCTTCCCAAAAGTTTTTTCAAAAGTTACATGCGGCTTCTTAGAAAAAATACGTAAGTTTAAAAATTAATATTTTTCATTGATATAACATTCCATCTTCTAATTGAAAGTTACATCTCGCAATGTAGCACGAATGTCACCACTCGTTTGGACTTCATATTCGTTATAGTTTAAATTGGAACGAATGTTCTAATTCAGCGAGAAATAACCAACAATTAGACATGTAACTGATATTAAATTGACTTCGTATCCATATCAATTTGATT